AAGTCTCCGCTTGTGACCAGACTGGACATTATCATTCAACGAATTGGAATCCATTGCAGCGATGTATTGTTATATTCAACTGTTAGGCACTCACAACAACTTGTCGCAGAAATGCGACCCGTCTAGAGCATTCCGCGAATTATTTGTGTTTGTACTGCATTGCTCCACAGGCAAAATAAACTACACTTTTGTCTTACATATCAGGAGCCCAAAACTGCTTTTCCTTCGCTCTTGACAAGTAATTACTATTTTTAAAACATAGCGTGAGGCACCAGGACGAAAATTAACTAGGAAGAAAACGTGCAGGAGAAGGGATTTTGAGTTAAAAAATTCAAATGAACTAGAAAGAAGTCAGAAAAAGCTGACAATTTCATTTATTTTAGCCACGAAATGTATATGCGCAGCAGTCTGGGGCTGGAGAATGCAAGCACGTGAAAGATCATTTGAAGAGTTACTTGCAAAAAGTACAGCTTTTCATGAAAGGAACTTACTTTAGGACGCATCTGAAAAATATCGATATAATCCTGATGGCAGGCGGAGCGCCTTAGATGCAAATACAGAAGTGAAATCTGCAGGGCGTAGCCACGGCGTGGCGCGAAATAATAAGTACAGTTCGAATTGCTTGGATAAAAATATGGATAATTTGGTGAAAATATACTTCCGTTTAAAGTATCTACGCGGAAACGACATGGTTGTACTTCAGTGGCGTTCGAGAGAAAATATGCTAAACATTTTTCCCCTTACATTCCTCACATTATTTCTACTTTCATGACACCAATACTTTTTGCTCTACTATTTGATATATCGAGAATACCAAGACCAAAATGTTTGTATAAGAATATGATATGAACTTCTGCAACGTACACGAATACATTCAAAAGATGTACACATGCTTACATATATACGTATATACTTCAACACGGCAACCAGCTCTAAGCTAACAAATGCTTATTCGTAATCGACGAGAAGGCAAATCTCCTGTGCGCATTCTACCGGCAATGAAAATCAGATTGCCTTCTCAGCTGTCGCTCGGTAATGCAAGTCAATTACTGATAATCTTCAAGAATATTTTGTACACAATGAATTAGCAAGGTGACTGCGCGATAATAAAGATCTTCCTTGCCGCCTTTTTTATGAAATAAAACAGTTTTCGTCATTTTACAGCAGCTGGGTATTATTACGTGCTAGAAAAAATTCGGCCGGTAAAAATAAACTTATGACATATATTTATGCTTATCATAAATGATACAAAATATACACACAAATTTGATTATGACTGAGCAAAGTGAGCGATTCATTTATGATCGGCTACGTATCAGCCATTTACCAGAACTAGAGATAAAAAAATTCAGAATTTTCTAAAGATGAAGACAAATGTACCTCTCGGAATAAGATTGTAGGTACCGTGAAAGCCTTTTGATGAACTAGACAATTTCAGGAGGAATATCAGATATTTCGTATATGAGTAGAATGTTTGCCCCGTTTGTATCTGTAAAATAAGAAATTTTCAGGTGTGGTTATTTCATTCGTTTGCTAAGAACTACTTATAACAGAACTAATCGACAATTGTATATGTGATTGTAGTAACACCAATGCTGAAAACTGGACCGCTAAAGATCGGGCAATGTCTTGCTTAAACCAAATCATACAGTAGTAGCTGTATTGTTTCATCAAAAATCGTGGCCTTTAGCTTGCTGTTTTAATTCTCAAAGTTTTAAATAACTGTAAAGGAGAATATTTAGCGCTTTAAGTTTTGTCCTTTTTATGGAAGCATAGAAATGCGTGACCTACATATATTTTTCCTGATGTAGCAGTATGTAAAACTTTTTGATGACAGCGGGAGCTCCCCAACAAGTTACGATACTGATTATTCAAAAAGAGTTTGGTGGAGATCAATAAGAATGCATGATAAAAGCAGTCCAAATTTAGCGAGAATCTTTCTCTTGAAAATATGAAGTTACGTGGCGTATTAGTTCAAAATAGAGTGAAGTTGAATTTTGCCGATTTGCATAGAGCTTATTTAATAACGGTAAATCTTTTAATCATAAAACCAGAGAGCCTAAACCTGAGGAATTTGGCAAAGCATTCCAGTAGCAGCACTAGTATGCAATATCTGCACCGGTACTTTCGAGAAATCTTTCATGCAATCAAGGATGGGTGGCGGAAACGGTGTGAGAGATTATTTTAGTCTACAAAACAAAAGTCAAAACCTCCTTCGTATTTGCCCTTTATAAATTGTGGAGGCACTCGAGAAGTAACCCGAGTGGGTAATATCTGCCAGCATCAACTGTCGGCTATTGGTGGCTTTTCCTTTTGAGGGTTGCTAAGAATCACATGGAATAGATTAGTACTAATTTAACATCGGAACGTGTCAGTAAATCGAAGAAAGATTCATTGTCCAAATAGCAGTTTGCTTCTAAGACTACATACAACTTGCGAAACAAGTATAGACATACTACTTCTTCAAAGAAAAAAGAAACCTCCTTAGCACAAAATTCGTCATTGTAGACGGTTTTTTCGTTGATCAGACCATCTGTTGTCGCATCGTATAACCTTAAATAATCGTAACATCTAAAGCAGGTAGCATTAAGATCGTAAAGTTCAATCAATCAGCTCACCTATCAGTTCGTGGCGATAGTTGAAAATAATTGAATGTCACTTCAACAATGTATCCATCAGGAGCTACAAATTTGTACAGTAGGCAAGGGTGTGAATAATGTGGCAGCTGTGATCCTGATAATGCCGACAAGGAGGGCACGGGTGAGTTTGGAAAATTTGGCGAGTGAAAGACACCACTGGAATTGAAGTGCACACATCGGCAACTCGACAACGAAGCGTTCGTGAGTTGTAGCAATGGCAGTATACACAAGGATAGTATCAGAAAAGGGATATGGCAAAATGCAGATTTAACAGAGCATTTTGAAACAGTAACCCGTGGCGCTAGTTTTGTCATGGATAGGGTAGATATTTTTTGCGCAGGTTGTCGTGCATTCTTCGGATGCTTAGTTTTCTTTGCTGAAATATTTTATTACCAACAAGCATAAGGCAATGCTCATTTTACGTCTACGTGCTCAATTATGGAATGGGAAATAAATGTCCTCGTAAAATTACAGCGCTTCAAACAGCTTAGTTACCGGGACGAAATCCCAAATTTGACGTATGCATGTGAAATAGAATAGACTTGTTTTAAAGCTGAATTTAAAATCTTTAGCTCACAATATAGGACATCCCTGTGAAATTACAGCTTCCTATCGTGTTTGGTCCCTGAAATCGTCTTCCCGCCAAAAAATTTATACGTTTTCTTTTCAGTCCCCATGTGTAAGACAAAGTGAACTTGAACAATAATTTGAAAACGAGACGGTCACGCGTGGGATAGACTATGACTCAAAGACCCAGCTTTGTAGCTTCTCGGATGCCGAGTGAAAGTGGGTGACAAAATGCGAACACAATACACAGATACAGGCACACACATACACAAAAACTAACATAAAACCTCTCGCTAATATAAGTGTTGGCGTTTGCATAATTATGCAAAAATACTTAATAAACAAATGTCAAATAATAATAATAAAAGCAAAAATGATAATAAAAGAAAAACAAAGGCTGGAACGCACCAGGCGAGCCGGTGCGATCATGCGTTTTTGCATCAAAACT